AAAGAAGGATATGGGGGCTGTCAATGTTGAACCTGTGGGATAGAAGAGAACTGGTACAGCATTGGAGCTCTGTTCTTTCCTATGAAAGCTGCTCAGTGCGCCATGAAGCCAAAAAAGCACTTATTGCTGCCAAAGAAATTACTCAGATGATGAATGAACTGCGTGGCCGAGCGCCGGCCTAATTCCCAAGTTTAGCCCTTTGGTTAACTTAGAATGGGAAAAATAATTATATGAATCTGGCAAATCTTCTGAACTTTCAAAATGTTATCAGACCAAATAGTAAAACAAGTCATTTTGTGGGGGTTTGTAAAGATCAAAAATGTATCCATGTTTCACAGCCGCTTTCCTTTCGTCATTTGTGCATCCACATGATGGACCGCCGTTGCATATAATTACACCGTTCCCACTATGTCAAATTAGCCCTCAAAGCTCGGGCTCACTTCCTGGGGGCTTGGTTGAACTGCCATGTTTCTACAGTAAGCCCGAACAGACAAACCAAACACTGGCTCTAGAAAGGGCTTTTTGCAAGTTTCGCAGCCACTGTAGTTTGTCCTACACACTTGGAATGAGAGGGTGAGGCAAGGACCTTGCAATCAGCAACTACACTGCTAGATGCCACTAAATCCTACACACTTGACCTTTAAATCTGTCCTCTAGTGATATCACTTGAGTGTCGGTTGGCCTGGAAGACTACAAGTTTGAAAAAAAAAAAAAAAAGTTGAAATCTTTGACTGAACTGTTGGTGGCCAAGTTGCATTGTGGGTAATGTAGGTGGCAAGTTTTGACAAGGAAAAATAACGCATGGAACACAAGACACGATATCTCTGGTTTTGAAGAAGATTTACAGTACATAGATATGGTATAACAACAATAGAACCTGTAAAACATGACAAGAGGCCCTAGTAGTTACTATATCTGTCAAATAGATGTAGTGCAGTCAAAAGTACAATATTGAAATATCTGAAATTGAATGTAGAAGTATAAAGTAACATAATATGTACCTCAAAATTGTAGTTAATACAGCACTTGAGTAAATTTACTTAGTTGATTAAATGTCCTTTTCATATCTAAAGGTATTGTGCGGTTATGAGGGGAAAGTAGGCTGGCTCCAAAAGCTTTCCGACAGTTTGCAGAGGCCACGGAGAGGAGGGATGAGAGAGGGTTCAAAGGGTCAAAGACAGTGTTGAAATGGGATATCGAGGCACATGTTTGGGCTGCAGCCAGCTTGGGCAACACACTGTCTGCAGATGATAAAGTTCTTTTCTTTTCTTCCCCCAGCTGGTGAAGACGGCCGACCTGGACCCCAGGCACAACTACGTCCTGGGGTTCCATCCCCACGGCGTGCTGGTGGCAGGGGCCTTTACCAACTTCGCACCTATGCTACAGGCTTCAGGCAGCTGTTTCCTGGCCTCACCAGCTACCTGCTCATGTTGCCCCTTTGGTTCAGAGCCCCATTCTTTAGAGACTACATCATGTGTGCAGGTGTGGGCCAGAGATGTTTGAATTATCCTCGATCACACTGCTCATTCATTTTTCTTTAATTTAACAGAATTACATTACAGTATACAGACAAAGTCCAGATTTATTATGTTATCATAAATATATATATTTTAAATAGCATTTAAGGTATTATTTGACCATTTTATTTTGATCATTGTACATCATTTTGATCCCTTCTCTTATTTAAGGTATTATTTGACCATTTTATTTTGATCATTGTACATCATTTTGATCAGATGCCCACCCTGGGACCTACAATGTACTCTTGGCCAAGAAGAAAGGCTTCATCAAAATGGCATTGGAGCAGGGGTAAGAGCAAAATGCCCTTGGGGAATGAGGAAAGTTTGCTGTTACATACAGCTAATTCTCCAAGGTCTTATGGCTTATTGAAAGGATTGTGTCTATTCATTTTAGGTTTCTTGCAGCTTGAGTGTGGAACAGAGGCTTATTTCAATTCAATTTTTCAATTCAATTTTATTTGTATAGCGCCAATTCATAACAGAAGTTATCTCAGGACACTTTTCAAATAGAGCAGGTCTAAGACCGAACTCCTTTTAACATTTCAACTCTCCTCACATGAAAATTTTCCTGGGGAAGCAAAGTAGGCTGTTATGTGATTCAATGTAGGAATGAAAGAAAAAAAGGAATTTTAATCACATGGACAAATAATTAAGTTAATCAATTAAACAACCTTTCTCATTAATGAATGAAGAATGAAGTGTTTGATTCAAGTGGAAAACAAAAGAGGACCTGGCTTCGATGGACACAAAGGAACGGCTTTCGCAAAGAGCATCATGGGGTTATCTCCCTGGCCTCTCTTCCAACGCGCGTTGGCATTTTCCAATACTCCTCTGGGTCTCATGGCCTTACAAGAAAACCATTCAATAACAAGTCAGTGAGTTTACACTTGCTTTCACTGGTCAGGTGGTAGGGTATGTACATCAGCAGGCTTACCAGTGTGCAGGTTAGCTCTGGTTTGCAGCTCACTGGACCTGTGCAAATTGTATAATACTTAACGGATGCAACTACTTTAGACTTAATAAACTGAGCTCATCATCTATCTCAATGGTATTTTGGCAAGAAGCATTTTAATTGTCACCTAAATTTTGCAGGAGGATTTCAGGTTGAATGAGTTATAAAGACCAGGACAAAAGCCGATAATTTGTATGTTCCAGTTTGCGCAACAGTGACTTTCTTAGCTTTGAGTACTGGCATGGCAGCCTTAAAGGGAAAACTTCCGGGCAACTTTCTAGCCAATTTCTTCGCTTGTTTTCACTTTTTGTCATCGCATGTTTTCTCAACCCAAGGCTCCCCCTACAGATATTCCGAATTACCGGGACGTTGCCAAGTTGCACAGGCGTACGCTGAGGGGGTGGGGGGTCCACCATTTTCACCGGAACAAGGGCCATTTACCATCCAAAGGATTCTAATAAGGGTTTATTAGCAAGACCATAAACATTCAAACTTGTCATCAAACAATTTCTTCATGCTTTTCAGGATTCTGATTACTTTGCTGATAAACAGCGGAAAATAAAAATTTATATTCAACACTCACTTGAATTTTCTTTGTGTGTTTTTCTATTTAATATGCTCCTTGCAACATTAAAAAAAAATGGGTCATATTTCAAGATTGAAAGTAACTCATTTCATCTTACTTCATACTATTACGATACTCTACTTTGGTTTCCATTTTTCTTCACTTTTTCTTCTCCGCCTATATTTCAAAAGGAACCTATACTTTTGCTTCACTACATTGTTTCCAGTTGGTTCAATGATTCCATTCTTCTTGCTATGTGACCCCTTACAAGGGAAACAGTTGGAGTTGTTTGACATTTCACTCGAAAAACTTCTCATAAAACTTAAACTTGAACTATTTGGAGGCCAAAAAATTTCTGAGTGGAAAACCACACAAAAGAATAATTCAGATTTATCTTTGGACCAATTAAACAGTTCCACCTCAACCAGCTACACAGAACAATGGTGTTTCCATTTGAATGTATCAGTTCAATCATTTAATTAATCTAATTAATGTCCATATTGAATAATTCAATATCCAATTGATTAATTCAAATATAATATTTAATATTTTTGCCTGTTATTTGCTTACAGTACCTTACTTGAAGTACTTTTGGCTTCCAGGACATTTTTTTTGAGATCTTCTTTTTAATTAATTATGGTACTTTTCCTTGAAGGGGATCTGACATACTTCTTACCACTATGGGGCCAATTTGAAAAAATGGTTTTTGCTGGAGCCGAGATGATAAATTCTTGAGTGGTTTCATCTTCTTTTCAACTCTTGTCAAGAAGAAACTAAGTATATTTTCCCAAATTTGGAAACTTTACTACGGATCCGTGAGGGTCGCCGGTTACAAAGTCCCAGACCAAAAATATGGAGCGTGGACTGTTAGAGCTGGAGGGCACGGCTGCCAGTTTCACCTTTCCTGTGCACTGCGAGGTGCCCTTGAGCAAGGCAACCTAACCCCGAAACCTGCTTCATGGCGGCTGGTTAACGCAGGCAGCCCCATCCACTCCCACCATCTCTCCCCCTTTGCATGTCCACATGTGCATGAGTGTGCTATTCAAGCTGTGTTGTGGTGAGTGAAAAAAAATAAAAGAATTTCCCCCTAGTGGATCAATAAAGTATATCTTCTTCTTTCTTCTTCTTCTTCTTCTACTTCTTTAATATCTACATTACAGTGAAACAACTTAGTAAAGAGACAGATCAAATACTAAAATTTTAATTCTCAAATGTATTTTAACTACTAAGATGACTAAGTCATGCATTCCCATCGAACTTGACATGATAAAAATCTGCTGGACACAAATTAAACTCAATAAATACGTGTCTATGTTACATTTATTGTTTTATTAGTTCTAAACTCCACATTAAAGTTTGAGTGTCTGATTTTGGATTGCGTTACAAAATGATAAGACTGTCTGTGAACTTTGGCAAACATATGGGATGGCAGGCTTCTGATATTTCCAAATGAAATGACTGGCAGACTGGACAATGCCCCAATCCTTTCATAACTCTCTGTACAAGAGTTGTGTGTGTGTTTAGCTGATAAAAATGCTGACTAAAAGAAAAACTTACAGCATCACTGTGATGCAAAAGAGACAAATAATTATATATTCAAAAATAAAAGAAACAGGCGCTAAAAAGTTAGAACTAAAGACTGATTACAAACATCTGTCAGTGGTTTCAGCACATGATCAATAATATTTGTATTTATTATAATAGACATATCAACACCATTCCATTCTGTTGACCTCCTCAATATACTTTCTTTTTCATCTGATTCCCTTATAAACACTTTTTTTTAAACTTCCATTTTATCTCAGTTTGGCAATTTCCTTAGCTAAATTAGGACAAATATTAACTAAACAAATAATTAAATCAATAAATCAAGCATTTATATACTAGATAGTGACATTTTATCTGTATTAAAAGAAAATATAGGTTGAGGGTACATTTTATATTGCCTGCAGAGCTGCAATCTTACCATGACACAATTGATGGGAAATTATAGGTCAGGCTTTGAATTTTAGAGACAAAATGATATTAATGATATTATTATTATACAGAGTGTAGATCACATTGTATGGACAAAGCTGCTAACAGTTCATAATTGTTTGGTTCCTGATGGGTGGGTGTGAGTAAGGTCAGGATAACAGCATTATTGACTTATTTTTGAAGACAGTGGTCAAAGTACAAAAGATTCAAGGGGTTGTGTTCACTGACTCCTTTAGGTCATATCTTATCTTGGCTTTTTCTTGAAAGAAAACAAAACATAAATGAATTTCTGGTCCCCCACATCAATACAGCTATACAGTATATGACAACAGTGGTTTGAAATTTTTTAGGAATCACAGAGGCGAAACAAATGAAAAGTTGTATTAGGACAAATAAAATAGGACTACTTATTACATCCTAAAGTAAAACAAATACAAAAAGGAAGTTTGCATGATAAGTGGTATCTACAGATAATTTGGTATCTACTCTACAGATACAGCAGGCTATACAGGAATTATGTAAGAATGTGGAACACTAAGTAGCATGTGTCAGCAGGTGAGATTATTATTTTAGAGTTATTGCATTACACATGAAGAAATTATTAAGGAACTGACATGACGGCATCTAAAACTAGACATTTGAACTAATCACACTTTGAAAAGGTTTGAAATATAAATTAAAATCAAGGCCAAAATAGCCATTTGAAGCATAAATAACATAAACATAAAGAATATTAGTGAGCTGCTGACATTATAAAGTAAAATTACATGATTACTTCACTGATGTCCCAAATTGTTATATATTGACATTTCTCAACAGCAGCCTTGTGTCAAGGACTTATTTAATCTAAAAGCAGTTATGATTATTTGGCCTAGTCCCACTAGATGTGCTATCAGTTCAACTTTTTGGGATGAACTGCATTAGATACAAAGTGCAAAAGCTTTTTCCAGCCAGAGACTGGCTATAATATCTAATTTGATAAAGTGATACGGGACAAGGACATGGACTGGGGCTGTGACTCTGAAAGTTCTGGGAATCATGACTTCAGCAGAATCCTTACATCAAGCGAACACACAATCTTAGACCTGAGGGTGTATTTATTCATTTAATGCTTCAATTGTCTGTTTCTGTAGATTGAAACTCCACTTGAGAGCTGATGTGAGTTAATACATAATCAAATGTTTTGAGGTACTTGTACTTGACTTGAGATCTTTCATTTTCTGCTACTTTCAGCTCCTACTTCTACTGCATTTCAGGGGGAAATATTTTTTTTTTTACTGCAATACATTTATTTGGCAGATATAGCTACTGGTTATGTTTCAGATTAATATTCTACTTAAACAATGTAATGATCTTATAAAAACAATGCCTTAAAGAAGATCTAACCTTTTTGGCTCCATACTAAAAAGCAGTGTCTAGTTAGTCCTTAGTCATGTTTCAGATATTGACAAGTTGTTCTGCCAAATTTCCCCTCTAGACTTATCAGATGCCTTTTAAATAATTATCCAATATTTCACAACAAAGGCAAAGATTAGAATTAGAGTCACACTAAAATGCACAAATATGTGTAGCAGAACTTAGTTCTTTTTTTGTTTTCTCTCCTACGACCCTACAGATTTATCTGGTGACCCTTTGAAGGGCCTATATCCCTAGTTTGGCAACCACTGGATTAAACTACCAAACTAAATAAAACAGCTAAAAGTTGCTCCAGTTGGTTCTTGCCAAGCTGGAACAGTAAAAATCTTCTTAACTGCATTGATGCAATAGTATGAATCAAATCATGTAAACTATAATACTATATCAGTCACAGGGGCCATTGCAGATTGAGTAGAGTGGAGTTAAATTTTACATAGATCTAAATACTGACATCTTCAGCTGTATATTAGTCCTGGGTCTCTGCAGTGCCTGCTGGCAGAAGCCACAGAGAGCTGGACTTACCTGGAGGCTTGAACAGATTGCATTGCCTTGATATACAGTATCCAGTCCAACACTGAAAGAGTGTAATTTGTTGCATTGTCACTGAACATGTGAGACAAGGTTTAACAATCCCATCGGGTGTGGCTGGTATTCTGTAAGGCTCCAAATGCTGCCATCTTTTCATACTGTGAGAGTTAAAGTATTAAAGGATATTATAGATCGAGCACTGAATAAGTCATTCCCTAAATTGATAGCAAACTTCAATCATTCCTCTAGAAAAAGTAAAGTGACACCACTAAACAAAAGTCTATGGAAACCTTTAAAGGCATGTGACATTTTTTTTTTCTCATGATGATTTTTCTAAGTTCCCTTTTTTTAAAGTAAATTATTGAAAAAAGATTTTTTAGGTGAAAAAATGGAAACTTAGAAAACTGTTTTCAAAGATTAAAATACTTGAAAAACTTGAAAAAAACACATTATCATTGGGTTTCAGGCCTTCCGTAAAAGTCGAATTGAAAGCAGTATAACATTACTGCTGAGTATGTGAAATCAGTATACAAGCACAGTATTACCTGGCCACTGAGAAGAAACCATAAACAAACCATAAATGAAGTAGATGTAAGAATTAGATTTTATACCACAAGAACAAAATCTAAGAACAATATGTTATAACATATAACATCACAATGAAATAAAAGTTTCAAATAACCACATAAATAAATAAATACATGATCCTGTAGTGATCACAGAGTGGTGTTCTTACTGTTGAACACATAACAGAGATCTGACTGTAAAAAACAACATTTTGAATAAATCTGCCTCATCCAGCCCAGAGATTCATGCTCACACCTGTATGAAGAGGTGAGGCAGGATTAATGGTCAATATATGTTGACCCACAGTTGACCCACGTGACTTTCCCCATAAATACACAGAGAGAGGCGCAGCGGCCACACTCAGGATCCCGGGTTTACCCACCTGCAGGTCCACGGCTCCTCGGTGCATTACTCATACACTGCTCTGCTCCTGTCTCCGTGTCCGTGGCTCCTCCCCGCGCTCATTAAATGCCCGCTCGGCGCTGCAGCCGGCTGCAGTTGAACGAGGTGCTGACACAGGAACTGTAGGCCATCAGGACTTGCATCATCCTGACAGCAAGCCAACATCCAAGTTTTCTTTTTCGGGTACCCTCGCCGTCCAAACAAGCCCCAACTATGAAGACTATTCTTGCTGCATACTCCGGCGTCCTCAAAGGTAAGACGGGTCTTTTTTGTGTGGTTTGATAAAGAACAGAGGCTGCAGCAAGCAAACAAACAGAGGTGGTCAAACAAATCCGGTACACTACTTTTGATATGTCATGCTGTTTTATTCTGTGTAACGCACTCTGTAAAAATAGCATCATTATTATAATAACAAATATCATTCCAGAGGAATACTGCACAAATGCAACACAAAACTACAAAACTTTTTTTCTTTTGCCAAAAGTTTCAAAAATCTTTCAAAAAAAGTCTGCATGTTCCCCTGTAGGTGATACTAAAGGATATTAAAGATACAATGAAGTCAGGGATTTATAGGTTTACCACAGAATGTCATTATTACAGTGTTTGATTTGTGCTCTGTGACAGTTTGCCTCAGTGGGTTTTACAATCTGTACATCACACTGTACAGCACCCCCTGTCCTTAGACCCTCGATTTAGATAAGAAAAAACTAACTGCAGTTTTTTTTTATTGGGGGGAAAATGGAAGAAACCCCAGAAAGAGCAGCAGAGGAGGGATCTCTCTCCCAGGACAGGCAGACATGCAATCAATGCAGTGTACAGAACAGTAAAGCACAGTATATACAAATCTTGATGCATGTAGAGGACCTGAGCCACACAACCTCCTGTAACAGTTCTTGGGTGTTTTGCATTTTTCTGCAGTTGAAGTTAAAATTCAAACTAAATGAAGAATTATTTGTGATTGTCCAAAATGTGAATTAATGATTCTTCTTGGACAATGTAACTGGAAAGGATATTCTGGTACAGAAATAGAATGTCTGCTTTGTTGATAAATTCCTCTGTTTCATTGATGACACTCTTTTGCTGTGTTGGGTCAGAAATTTAGACTTTCAGTTTGCAAATATATGAAGTGTCAATAAATTGATACTGGTGACAGCTCAGGAAAACTGTCAATATGTCACTGGTAGTTTAAAGTAAAGTATAGGCTAACATTTGTTCAGGTTTATCTTAAAACAAAACTCACATGCTTATATATACATCAAAAGGGTTATTAGTTGCTGTGGCCCACTTGGCAACTTTAAGACCTCACCTCTGTAGGACCTGATGGTGTTTGTGTACCTCTCTGGTCTGGTGACCAGTTTGATCTCGCTCACAGTGGGACTCAGAAAGCACTGTAATAAGTGGGCAGAATTAGCCATCGCCAATTGGATCCCGGCCAACTCTGTCTCCCTCCATCAGTCAGCAGCGTTGATCCAAGCAGTGATAGCTTTTAAGGAGTCATAGCATTATAGTCTACAGATAATACCTCCAGCACCCTGCTGCTGGGTTTTTTTTTAGTATGCACTTGTGGGATTAGACGGCAGTGTTTTCCTGGAGGGGAGAGATCTTCCTCCTCATTGGCTTTCAGCAGTATGAGCTTGACTAGCTTTAGTCGCTCTTAATGTGTCCGTTACTTTATGCTCCCTCTTCGCACACGGTCTCCTCACATTTAGCTTCACTTTTCTAAGCTGGTGAGTAGCAGAAGCTGTGCTGGCTGACATTTATATGTAGGACTGCTTGGTTGCATTGTTTGACTGTGTTCTAGGAAATCATTAATCAGTTTGTTTTGTTTCATGTCCACCTTTGGATTGGTTTAGCTCGAACAGGACTAGGGATGTTACTACTAGGGGTGTGTTAACTGCATCTTTTCAGTTTGATTTCTCACCAAAATGCTTCTCTTCCTCATTTACTTAAGCTTCTGTAAGTGTATCTTTATTATATCGATATTTGACAGAATCGATAAAACTCTCCTTTTATGCTTTATTGTCTCCTCTTCTGTCTCCAGGCACCGGCTCCAGCATCCTCTCTGCCCTGCAGGACCTGCCCACGCCATTCTGGCCCTGCAGATCCAAGATGGAAAAACATCTGCAGGTCATCTCTGTGCTGCAGTGGGTCATCAGCTTCTTAGTCATGGGTGAGTGTGTGTGTGTGTGTGGATGCCGCTGTGTATTTCACTTAAGCTCCAAGAAAGCATAGAAACCTAAAGAGTTAGCTTGTAGTCTCATTAGTTTTATAATAAGGAGGTCAGATCTCTGAGCTGCACACACACACTTGTTTCTGACTCCTGATTACTCTTCTGGCCTTGAACACAATCTTTTAGCTTTTGTATTTTATGAAACTGATTTGTCTGTATTTAAGAATAACAGTCCTTTCTATTTAAATGCTTGATTGTACTGTCTCTCCTCTCTCACTCCAGGTGCTGCGTGCACTGTGCTGCTCATCTACATGTTCTGCACCGACTGCTGGCTGATTGCTGCCATTTACACCGCATGGCTCATCGTCGACTGGAACACCCCGAAACAAGGCAAGACACAAGATGTCAATCAACAGTGTTACCTTATAGCTCATCCCCATGTGAAGAAAAATCCCTGGTTTGATGATAATGCAAAATGTATACCATATGCATGATATATCAGAATCTGCTTTGTTTGATACAATTTGGGTCTAAAACCAGTAAACAATAATTATTGATTGTTACAATTTTCAAATGGGGTCTTTGTTTAGCTCCTCAATTGTCCATACCAGAAAGACCACAATTAGTCCTGACTCAGAGTAGAGGATATATAATGTGCTGGCCTTTGGTGCTAAACTAATAATTTGGTTTATGACCAAATACCTGCAAAACTAACGACATTTCCATCAGCCTCAGCTGTTCTTTGTCTTTAGTGCCGATTAGTAAATGCTAAGAAGCTAAATGTGGATGGTATACATGGTAAATATATACCTGCTGTTAGAAATTCAATATTATTATTATTATTATTATTATTATTATTATTATTATTATTAGTTTTCATTAGTTTATAATCACCTGAATATAGGAATCATTGTGTTTGTTTATGTTATTTATTAACCAAAAACAACATCCATTGTTTCATTAGTTGTGAGGATTAGTGTTATATTGTTAATCAATGGAAACTCATTTTGTAGCCTTATAAACAATCCCAAGAGGTTGCCTTGTGCTGTAAATGGCCACCGGACATCTTGTAAAATAAATAATGAATTAATTGATTGAATAATCCAAAACTACCAGATTAATTGTTAATTGGATTATTGATAGTTTCACCTCTAGTTTTGATGTTATAAATCGATTTCTAATCTGTAATGTTCCCCTCAGGTGGCAGGAGGTCCTCTTGGGTGAGGAACTGGACAGTGTGGACATATTTCAGAGACTACTTTCCAATCAGGGTAGGTAACTCAGTTAGTCAGTATCTAGGTGTACCATCACTAATTTATCCAACCCCAAACTTGAAACCTCAAGAGAACGGAAGAGGATGTCCGGGTTTGCCTCTTGTAGAAATTAACCCTCAAATGTGCGCGGCTTTGTGCATTTTGTTACAATCATACACAATGTACTTTTACTGCTTTATAACTCTTGCTCAGGATAGTCGATTTCCAGTTGTGCACAGGTTTGACATTATAGATACCCCATCTACCTCTGATAAGGTTATCAGCTGGTTTCCAAGCCGTTCCTTGTCCCATGTTGATTATGATGAGGGTTTGACGTTGGTGTTGAGTTTTAGACTTTGTCCTACCTGATAGGCTAAGGAGCAGTGCTAAGTGCTTGTTTTGCCCTCAGGTGTCCCCCACTCCATCTTTAGATGAGAGGACAGCCCAGGTTCAGGGTACAGGAGCCACACACACTCTGCATGCTGGGGGAGGTGCTGTACAGTAGTGAACTGTCAGCAAGAAGCCAAAGGTCAAGTTTGGAAGAGAGGATGTGTATTCCCTGAGATATTCTGCATGACTCAGCCAGGAGTCATGGGATTTTATTGAATCATCACCTTTGTACAGACTAGAGTCGCAACGATTAATTGAGTAATCGATTGGTGGATTGCCACAAAAACAAGCAAGTCTTTTGATAATCAATTAATTATACAGATTCTCAGCAAAATACCAAACATCCTCTGGTTCCAGCTTCTCCGATAAGATGATTGGCGGCTTTTCTTTGATTTGTATCATTTTACAGTGAATATCTGTGGGTTTCAGACAACGTAAGACATTTGATGACGTCACATAAGACAAGGAGATAACGTGATGGACATATTTCAATATTTTGTGGCATTTTATACACAAAATGCTTTATGAATTAATTGTTGCAGGCCTCGTTCAAACAGTCCTTGCAATATCGCCCTCCCACGCTGTCCTGTAAAACAAGGTTGACCCAAGTATAAAAGACAGGGTTTAATGTTGTGTATTCCTCTCTGTTACTGAACTAGCTTTAGCTGTTATTTCCTCAGAATGCTAATGACACCGCTAGTTTGATTCCATTATTTCTTCACTGAACGTGTCACTGATGATATCAAATGAAACTTTAACGACTGACTGTGTTACAGTGTATAAAAGCACTTCAGTGCAAGGAGAAATGGTCTGCTCAGGGGTTGATGAGCTTATACTGTACAAAGGGAAGAAAGGAAAGAGGGCTGTAACTGCAGGGGGAGGAATCTGAAGTCCTACTGTTTGCAGCTGAACTTTGTTCATCACATTGATTTGTACTGTGTGTACTATGTAGCCGTCTGTTTGTCTCAGCGGGTTGATGAGATCACTCTTTTGTCACCCAGACACTTCAGTGACATGTTTTTAAGAAAACTATAAATTATTACTATTGCTGTTGTTTTTTGCTGTTGTGCAGACCTTTACCTTTCTGTCGGTGTTGAAATGTTAGTCAGTAGCTACGTCTACAGCTGAAGTTCAAACAGAGGTGAAAAAGTAATTTGAAAGTTCATTAAGTGATACTTTTACTGTCCAATAATTGTAATATATCTGCAGGGCCATCAGTTGATTGTAGGGCACCATCTATCACAGACATGACTTTTATTTATGTGAGTTGGAGGCCAACTGGTCAAAGTCCGAGCCAACCTAAAAATCAAAGAGGACTGTAAGAAGTCTGAATTGTGACTGCTATGAGAACAGTTACATGAATGTCTGAGGAAGTCTGCCTCGACACTAGAAACAAAGACTCTTCTGTAATATTGGTGCTTTTTTACAGTAAGCAGTCTCTTTACTGTCTCCTCTAAATCTGTACAAGGTGTTAAATGTGTGTTGGTGCCACTGTAACCTCCTTACGTCTGCCCCGCCAGCCAGGTGGAGTCCTGCGGTACTATGGGGATCTTGAATGTGATCTCCTCTGCTAATGTGGTTATGCAACTGCTGTGTTTGACCAGCTACTGAGGGAGCTTTGTGTACACATTGTGATGGATCTAAGTCTACAGTGCAGAGCAGAGCACAGTTAAAGTTTCAATGAGATTCAGCAGTTTTACAACTTAAACATGCAACCAAGTGGTTAAAATAATGCTGAATGCTTGAAGTTCTTTAAAGTTGTACTGCCAGTATGAACAGGTGCACAACACGTATACTGAGTTATTATTTTATGACAGTGCATGAGCAGACAGAGGAGAGTCATGTCGGGTTTAAGCTGATAAGGATGTCCTAGTTCGATTAAAACATCAACTGTGTCCCAGATACAAACTACATACTAATTATATGCATGCCTTGAGTATTTAGTGTCTTCACACAGGAAGAGTGACAAATACTCTAAATGTTCCTATACATAGCCACATCCATACATATATAGACACATGTGCACAGTTTAAGTGGTAGCTACAGTACACAAAGCCATGCTAACCCTATTAACATTATGGATAAAGTTTAACCAAATCTATTGATTGTTTTAACATTTAAAAAAACCCAGTTTTTTGAGTGTACTGTTGATGGCCTATAGACCTTTTTTACAGCAGCCATTTTGACATTTAATAGTATTACAGATGAACAGAACTGTTACCATTGATACTAATCAAGGTTCCATTCAGGTCGAACAGAGTCAGGGTGCTGTTATTGTGCATGTTGGCTCACTGAAAAGGCTCAGCTACACTAATTTAGAACCTTGATATCATTGGTAACACCTGTCTTTACCCTACTATTTCATGTCAAAATGGCTGCTGTGAAAAAGCACAAAGGAAAAGAGAAGGCTCTCACAACTGGAAAAAAATAAGACCTTATTTATTTGTATTTTTTTTAGAAAAACATTTTGCTGTCTCTTTGAGGTTTTTGCCACTGCACTGTAGCATTGTAAATGTAATCGTTTTGGGTTTTGGACCATCATGGGGTTCAGGAAACTGTGATGAGCATTTTTCACTGTTGACTTAAAGTAATCGTCCGATTAATCGATAATGAAAATAATCGCAGCATGCAGCAACATAATTTCCCCTTGGTATACAATGGTCAAATGTGTTGATTTATTGTGTAGCAATTGCAAACAGTAGTATACTATAATGATTATTCTCATGTTTTTGATTATACAGTTTATTTGTATAGCACATTTTAAAAAACAATGTTCAAAGAGTTCTACACAAAACAAATAAACAAACAGATACAGGAATAGAATCAACCTGGCAGGAATATGTATAACACCAGGCATGAGATGGGTATATGCTATCGTTTATACTGTGTGTGTATATAATAAGGGTTTATCATGGAACTGGCACACATCTTCTAATCTCAAGCCTTTCAGCCCCATTACTCACTAACATGACATTTCTCCTGTCAGCTCATATGGAAATCAGCCTCACACTGGTCCTCTTTGTGCTGTTACCCTCCAGCTAATTAAAACCCACAACCTGCTGCCCAGCCGGAACTACATATTTGGCTACCATCCCCATGGCATCTTCTGTTTCGGGGCTTTCTGCAACTTTGGGACAGAGGCCACGGGCTTCTCCAAGAAATTCCCAGGCATCAAGCCCTCCCTGGCAACCCTAGCAGGAAACTTTCGATTGCCTGTCCTTCGAGACTACCTGATGTCTGGAGGTGAGATGATCTGAGTAGCGACTGGAATCTTGTAATGTCTGATAAAGTTGATATCTGTATCTGTTGGAGAGTGGACCTTTGTCCTATTGTACATCTGAAAGAGCTTCTGTTCACTTGGATCAGCTGATTGCACTGATTGATAGAGCTTTAACTGTTCTGTCCCAAAGGTGTTTGCTGTTCAGGCTTCATCTTTGCCTATAGATACTGTACATGCTGTTATCTTTGCCAAGGCGTTATTTTTTTTTTAGCATTGTTTGTCTGTTCGCAGGATTATGCAAAAACTTCTTACCCAAATTTTGGAGAAACTTCGTGGAAGAGAAGAACCAATTAAATGTTGCAGCAGATTTAAATCACCAGGCAGATACTCACATTATTTTTCACTTTTATTAACAGTGCAAGATAGGCCACCTCAAACATGATTTTCCTGAGCTGTATTCAAATGGTTGCAATCCACAACTTCACAGCTAGATGCAATAGAATCCTACACACTGGTCCTTTTTAAAGTGAATGGTGTGCAGATTTGCATTGGCCTTAGCGGAGGTCTGTGCTCTCTGAATGGCCTTCTAGTTTTAATGTTTCAGTGTTTTATTGGTAAACCGCCTTCATAGGAATTTCTTTGTGACCTTTTTTACCTCTAATCTGTAATGCAACAATCCTTTCTGCAAAATACCTCTTGTTTTGAAACAATGTTTTTTTCCCCATCTATACAAGAAGGCCAACAGTGCTCCTGAACTGAATTACCAATTTTAACAGTGTATTCCCTCTTGTACATGTTTTCATCTTTCAACATATTTTTTCCCTCTCAGGTATCTGTCCAGTGAACAGGAACTCCATTGACTACCTGCTGTCACGTAACGGGACAGGAAATGCTGTGGTCATCGTTGTCGGAGGGGCAGCAGAGTCTCTGCAGTGTGCTCCTGGCATGAATTCTGTCACCCTGAAGAACCGTAAAGGTTTTGTAAAGCTGGCCCTACAGAAAGGGTGAGCTGGCTCAGCTGCACAACACTCAGACAAAAGGACACATGCAGTTACAGCGACCAAACATAGCCTTGAACAAATCTGTTTTGAACATGAAGATATCATTCTCAGGGCTGTAGTGACTCATTGGAATGAATAAACCCTAGATTATTACTCACAGAAAGGTCGAAAATTACATCATAAGAGAGCATTACCAAATCTTTTATGAATATGCAGTGTTGTCCCTCATAAAGCTTTGAGCTCCTTATGGCCTGCAGTACCCTTTCGGAAGGGGCAGACTGTGTGAGCTGGCAGTAATCACTATAACAAACTGTGCTATAAAGAGAAGGGGACCCGGTCTGTCTTGCTTCCCCAAACAAGTTGATTTCTTTTCAAATATATATTTGTTGATCTCAGGGTGCATCTTCTCCAAAGAAGCTTAGAGCTAGCTAGAAAAGACATGCAGTTATGCAGTAACTTCATGCATAACTACTAGTTCCAGCTGAACTAATCCTGGTCACTTTCAGTTCTCTCTGGGTCTTTTGTGGCTCGGATCTGATGCTTGTAAAGTAGAATTGGATGTCTAAATCTGTTGAATAACAACTGATACTGAAGTTGTTTTTGTAAGGAAAATTTAGGCAAAAGTGCCTCAGGTTTATATAAACACAAATGTATAAAAAAGCACCTTGTCCAAAGCCAGTGATATAGAACAAGGGTCCTAGGGGGGCATGAGATGATCAACAAGATAGGAAAGCTAAAGTTAACAAAAATATACAGTTTATTTTTCGGGCTTCTCGGGACTGCATTGTTTTATCTAATCAGGTCTTGAAGAAATATTCAAATTAAACAGCGTGGGAAGGTAAATTATAGATGACTCTTTAAAGTGCTCACAGCTCATATAAATATGTAACTGTTGATGAGGGGTTGTGACTTGACTTTGTAGGGTTTTAAAGGACCACAAGCCAAAAATGATGGGAACAAGTGGTAATGAAAAAAGATGGAACAAATCTGCAAATAAAATGAATAGTTCTGAAAGTTTTCTAGTTTCAGAACTTTCTTTGAATGTGTTTGGGCTTCTGGTCAAATGTTAAATTCTAAACTTGGCTACAGATCAAAAGCAGAATAAACTAATATCAATCAAGAAAATGTCCTGATTACACAGGCCCTTTCATAATTGTTACACCTAGCCAAGACAAAAATGGTTCACCAACAATAACCCACACAAACATGAGAAATGTTTGCAACTGGAAACTACAAAAGTCAGCCTACGTGACCAGCAAGATCAACTGTTTCATGATTATTAACCCGTTGCACACAAAAAGCTACAACAAAACTTTTTGTTGTGTGGCAACTTAAGTTGCCCTCCTGTAGAGACATATATATTAGTCAGCTCTGTATGATGGTAATCACAGATGTGCTGTGCATTTAAGTGAGCCTTTAAGTGTGATAATTGTTTTCAAAGCCAGGGTAGCCATTAGAGAGTTATGACTGTAATATAACAATAAAAATATCAAGGAATATAATTTAGGTTATATAAACAATGACAGAACAAGTCTGTAAAGTTTCTGTCTTAACACGCGTAAAGTGTGTGAAAGCTTGATAAATAGCTTTTCTGTGTTTTTGAAAAGATGCATTATCCGTATTACAACCTTTTTATTGTTCAAATTTATTAGGTCTCCACCACTAGACATGTTTTTTATATATGATATATTTTACTTTCTTATTTTTTTATGTTGTTGCTAATTTTAACATTTACATCTGTTACTTTGTTAGAAACATACTTCTTGGCAATGTACATTCGGGGGACAGTTGTTGAGTTACCTCCTCTGTGTTTCCTCAGGTCTGACCTGGTTCCAGTGTATTCCTTTGGAGAGAACGATGCCTACAAGCAGGTGATCTTTGAGGAGGGGACCTACTGGCGGTATCTCCAAAGGAGGTTACAGAAGATCTTAGGTTTTGCCCCATGCCTTTTCCATGGATGTGGCCTGTTCTTCGGTAACACCTGGGGCATTGTGCCTTATTGCAATCCTATCACCACCATAGGTAGGTTTGTCTTCTAAAGTTTGGTTAGTGTGATTCAGAGAGGTACATATTAGTTACCTTTAAAATACATTCCCCAATAATCTGCTGTTTTGGTACAGTTTAACAATGACCAACAAACTGTCAACAGTTTAGCAGAATAGACTAAATCAGTATTTGCTTTATCCAACTTCAAGAGTGTATTTTTTAACACTGATGGTTTAATCCTCTCCTGTTTTAGTTGGGGAGCCGATCACAGTGCCAAAAATTGAGGATCCGACTGAGGAGATGGTGGATCTGTACCATGCAATGTACATCAAGTCCCTCCAGTGCCTTTTTGACAAATTCAAGACCCGGTTTGGCCTGAAAGAAAGTGACGTCCTGCACATCCAGTGAAAGGACCAGGGGGCCCTGTTGAAGCTCTGAACTGTGGCAGCATCCTCAAATACCCACCCGTCCTCCTTTCCCACCCTGTCTATATCCAATCTTGGTGCCCGGTTTGGATTATTTCTGGACTGCAAACTCTGCACTCGAGCATGTTTGCTAAAGAAAACCTTTGCTCTCTGCATTGTTACACACAAACACACACACAAGCACTGTTCCTTCTCAGGAAATGGCAGGTTTGAGAATAGTCACCTCTCCCTGCTGCTGTCATCAGGTTTAAACAGTCTTGGTTGGACAAAATTGCATCAAATCTCACGTCAAAAAGTGTGCCTTTTTGTTGTTTCTTACATTTCTCAATGAAGGAATCTTATCAGTGCAGAGGGGGGTGAGTTCCACTAGATGGGGCTGGAAGGTAACATGCAGGACTGAAACGAAGTGCCAATGTTTTCTTTCATTTATGCGTCCACGTAATTCTACTTAAGCTCTTTAAGATCCTATATGCTGAACGCACAAACAATGCAAGTGGAAGGTACCACTTTATCACTGGATAAAAAGCCCAAAGATTAATTGAGCCAAAGACCTATGTTGTCCCCACAGATGCATGTATTTCTACTGCATGAAAGCCAAAAGTGAAGGAATTCTACAGGGTGGATTTATATTGTGAACACACAATAAATGTGTGCCTGTGATTGTATAATGCCATAAAGTATTAATTGTATTCTGTAGAGAGGAAGAAGCCTATTGTTAGTGCCTGTCCCTCAATGAATATTTCTGATGCACTTTTTGTATTGCTGATTACCTTTGATATGAGAATTTTCCAATATGGTGCTGCTTGGTTTGATTTCCCTTTCTTGTCCAACTGGTGTCTGGATGGGTTTTTTTTTTTTTTGTCCATGCAACAAAAACCACAGTGATGTATTGTATCTTCAAGTGTTTTGGAAAGTTTTGAGCTACAGATGGAGAAGTTCTGAGGGTGGAAATCCTGATGTTTGATGAACCTGGTATAAAGTGGATCTCTTTGTATTCATGCCATTGGTGATAATTGAAAAGGAAGGGATTATACCGATCTTATTACTGGTATTATGTTATGTTTGAGGGTGTCACTTGTACTTTTGTAAAATAAGAGTATGTGAGTATAGAATATATCCTGGGAATCATCAAAATAACTAAGGTTGTGTCAAATTGATGGGTGGTAAATTCTAAGATTGTCATTTGAAGAGCAATTTCCTGTGGTTTCACCATTGTGACTTCTTCTAAAGAGCAGTGTAATCCATGTGCAATAAATTTGCAAGGAATAAAGAGTGAGACCTGTCTATATGACTAATGGCATCATCTGTCTGCCAATATTTAAATTAAACTTTTGTATGTTTTCAGAAGGAGATGTGTATGTGTTTGTGCATTGTTTTTGGACACAGTTAAACTTTTAACAAATTTCTGTAAAGATATTTCTCTGCAGTACAACATTTTCTCAAATTCACTTCACAAGACGTCCATCATTTGATCAGGACTTGTGTGAGGCCAGTGTAAGACAAACACATTCAAGCTTATTCAGCCATGTTAAGTGTCAAGATTAAGCACTAAATATATACATTCCCCTTTAAATAGCTCTAAGGCAGTTAAATATTCGTATGTACAGTATTTCGTATCGAAGATACAGTATATGATATTTACACTCAGTGAAATCTACAAATGCAGAACACATTGTTATATCATCCAATACAAATATTCCAGATGATTCCAGATCATTTTATACACACAAAAAAATGATTTAGTCAAATCCACACATCCAAGGACAAGACAAAAAAATGAAAGAGGAAAGCTTGCCTTTGTAGTTAAAGTCTTTGTTCCATCAAATGATGCAGTATCCACACATACAAACATATCTGTACATACATACACACAACACACACACAAATATACTGTAGGTCTACACATATGTCCTACATACATACAGATACCTCATACATATATATGTATATGTAATATATATAATATTTGCACCAGTAACTAGCTGTAAAATAAATGTAGAACAACATGTCCCACTAAAATGTGGGGGAGTTTAAGTATGAAGTAGTATAAAATAGAAATACTAAGTGCTGAAAACTGGGCAATGTTGGTTAAAAAAATGTTCAGTATAAAAATATTTGGACAACCTGACTGCAGTATCTGTGTTTTTAAAAAGCTTGTTTTGCACACCAACAAGCGATTTCCAGTACAGAGTATTCCTGAAAGCAGAAAGCAATCAATACTTTTTGTAAAGTCCAATGACCTAGTGGAAACAGAACTCCTCTATGTGGCTGATGCTGCCCCCTGATGGTTGCTTAATATTCTGCAGCCAGGGTGATAAAGGCTTATAGAAATCAGTCCCACTACTACTCTACTCGATGTAGAGTAGTTGGACATCCAGTAGTGGTGGAAACACATACATTTACTCAATTGATGTACTTGAGTACAATTCTGAGGAACTTTTACTTGAGAATTTTCCCATTATACTATTAAATACTCTACATTTCAGACAGAGCCATTACACTTTTACTGCACTACATTATTCTGACATCTGTAGTTACGTGTTACACTGCAGATTCACATTTCACATGCACTGCATATCCAACAGTAAGTAATTATTGCCTAATCAGCTCCAGCTCGACTGCAACAAAAACTATTTTACAATACTGTTTATAAGTTAATAAATCAATAATAATAATAATACAATAAAATAATACACATATAAAATAATATTACACTTTCAATAGAATTAAGTGCATTACTAGTAGGCCTACTTTGATTTTTTTTGATACATTAAGTACACTACGCTGATAATACTAATCTACTTTTACTCAAGTATAATTTGAATGCAGGACTTTTAGTGTGTTTTTACACTGCGGTATTGATCTGGGATCCAGAGGCCTTCTGAGGTCTTTTTCTTCCCCCTGCTGCAAGATGAGGAATAATTTAATGTTGCTGTGGTCTAGTGCACATAAAGTCAGAATTCGGACATTATTGATCAGATGTTTCACACTCAATAGTGTCAAGCTGCCCCTATATCCGCTGTTTGTTCACGGCCTAATGTTTGCGCATTTAAATATATGTTGCATAATATTTACAAGAGCCCCTGGGAGAGTCTGTACAATAGCAATGTGAATAGTTTTCGTCACTTTTTGCACTAGCTCTAATGGAGACTGTAAGTGAGAAAAGGCCTGGATGTTACCGTATAACTGTCAGCTGCATGTCACGCTGTGCTATGCAACTTCCTCATTATTTGCAGCTTTGACAGATTTCAACGGACACCCGCCCACCCTGGAAGATTAGCAGACAATACAACTAATAGTAACACGCGTTTTCAGTAGCAAGCACCGCCTTTACACGACATACGTTAGTTTGAGCCAATCAGGAGCCTCGGCGTCGCGCTTCCCAACCGGAGACGGATTTCCAAGTGTAGCAAAATAGCCTGTACTTTGTTTACGTCCCGTCGGTTAGCTGACAGCTGCTGTAGCACTGTACCCACACAAACAACCGTGTCTGCATGCCTCTGGCGGCTGCCTGGAGCTTCGATAACTTTAAACAGAGTGTCCTGGATGTCTTGGACTGGATGTTTTGTTGAATGAGGGGGACCCGCTAGATGCCGACAGGAGGATGAACTCCATCACCGGTCGGGTTCTTGCCATCCCCGCCGCCTCTGTCACCAACTCTGGAGCTTCATCCTCTCGAGCCTTACATGTAGAGCTCACATCCCAGCAGGTAAATGCAAAGCCCGAGCTCATGTTCATACGAACTGCTTCAAAATGAACTCGGGGAAAGTTGGCCCAGGCCGTCTCGGTGTGTTATGTACTAGTTTACAACGTCAGTTACAACTGCTGCCGGGAGGAACACGGCAGGCCTGCCAGGCTAGCTAGTTAGCTAGCAACTGTTAGCTTGCAGTTAGCTAGCTTACTAGAAATTAATGGAAATACACTGACAGCCCTGGCACACTAAAACCAGTTAGGCTGGTGTTAGGCATTTTTAAGCCCAGCCTTATCAGCGTGTTGAACTGTTTTGAGGGTATATATCATTCTAGAAGTTTAAATGTGTACGAAGCTAACGTTAGCATGCTTCTGCTAATGGTAACTTATCTTAACGTCCTGTCAGCACGCAGGTGACAGCTCAGTTTTAGGGAAACGGCATATGTCATTACGGTGCTGTTCTACTGTCTCATACTGCTTTTTATTATTGTGATTTCAATACACTTCTACACCATGAACTAATTTAATTCAAGGTTCTTAAAGTCGGGGGAGTCTTTGGAAGCGTTATAGATTCATCTCCGTCTGTCCATTCATTCATTCATTCATTTTGAAACGACATGTAAAAGTTGGCCGTTGACAGTTCATTCAATAAGGCCACCGACCTCAGGCTGTAACATCGGCCCATCAAAGTCTCACAGACGCTGGATATTAATTGTAGTCAGAAATGGGCTGTCCATGTTGTGGGATATCTCCATATCTTCAGAATTAGCTTGTTGCAATGTTTTAGGAGCCACCATCTGATCTGACTGTGCACACAGCATCCGCAGAGTCAGATATCTATGCTGCAAGGGGTTTCAGCTACAGACCTCCATCAGACCACCTCAGTCCACATCAGGAAATGATCTACAGTATGAAACCTTCTCACTATGTTGCTCCACATTCACAGCAAAAGTATGGGGAAAAGTTTACTTTAGTAAATTGTGAAACTGTCAGTTTCTCTCTGATTCATCAGATTCAAATCTCTTGTACAAGCAGCAACATGTTTTCTTCAAGCTGTCCTGCTTGGTCTTGAATATCGTTGGGGATCATAACGTGGGTGTCCCTGACACAGCAGGAAGTTCAGCTTTCAGTTGCTTAGTATGAGCTACTCCGCATAGTAGGTCTTACAAAGCAAAGTGCATGAGGAGAGCAGGGCCTGCAGCTGAGTTTGTCCTTACACCTGTAAATCAAACTCTTTGACCCTTGTTTAAAGGTGGGTATGTGTTTCTGGAGAAATACAATAACTACGCAGCAAGCAATGGAACTAATGTTAGCTTTGTTGCGGGTGGGCAGCTAACATGCGGAGGGGACGAGAGCCAGCTCACCGACTCCAGACAGCGATACTCACAACCCTCTGCTACTATAGCTAACTTCACGATGACCGCATATCTTCTGCAAACTACAATAAAAACTAAAATAAGATGAATGTCCGTGATAAAATAATTGACCTTACCTGACACTCAAGTCCTGGCTGGAATAACAAGTTAGTGCTGTGTGCCTCTGTCCGATACCCTTCGTGTGTATCTGAGTTAAAACCACTGGGTTTTTTAGCACACACACACACAGGGAAAGACTAGCGGTTTGTGAGGAGATATTTGCTGAATATGACAAAGTGTAAAAGTGTGCATTGGATTAGAAATGCATACCCCACGTTTAAGTGTATCATTACATGATTGGGTGGGTGTCTAACGTGTTCAATTCAATAGACGGTTAACATATTCCATTCTTATTCAGATCAGAAATACACAATTTATTATAGGGTATTTGTAACTTAACTTGTAGTTTATTAGTTGAGATGAAACAAATAAAATGTTGGTTAGGTTTAGGCACACAAACATCTTGGTTGTGTTGTTCATGTTCATGATAATCTGTTAAACATTACAAATGTTACAAATACTTTCCTGACAATGTGTAGGCGAGCTGTCCAAGTAAACTGTTCCCGATTTATCTGCAGCAAAATTCCATGTACTTTGTATTATCACCTCATATTATATTATATTGCCTTGTATTGACTTGGCAGCAGACATCTCAGACAGAGATCTCACAACTTCAGTAGTTTTAAAAAGTTTAGTGCTTATTTTATGTAAATTTCATGTGATCTATCATATGGATATCAGGATATCATAAGGTCATAAGGCTGTGAGCAGTGCACTTCACATTACTGTTGCGTTTACATTTTGGTTATGTGAGCATACAATCTTATTTTACAGCTGGCCTAGTGTGAAAACTGTGATTGTTCATTTAAAACAACTTGAAGCCAAACCGTTTAAGTCGCCGTTGCACTTCAAATAAACCAACGCTCAACAAAATGAAAACCAAAAAATAAAAGTGCTCGATCTGGTGTCGGGCTGTGTGATATGGACAAAACAACACGTGAGTATCAAAGTAATAGCAATGAACTGCTGGAATAAGTGTTGGTGCTTTCAGAGGACAGGAAAAGGAAAACACAGAAACGGTTAAGCCAAATCCCAGTTTTGTATATCAATAATATAATAATATATCAGTATATATGAATTATCAATATCATATTCAAATATTGCTTAGCTCTGCTTTGCTGTAGTGTTAATTTATCAGTAGCGAACTGTGTTGGTTTTGAGTTGGGAAAGACCATTCATAGCTATTATATGGAAATTATAATATAGAATATTATATGTAGAGATGAATTCATTATGTGTAAAATTGAATTCACGGTTGTTTGTGCGATATGAAACTGAAAGTATTCCTGAAAGAATGTTCTTTTTGCAATCTCCTATTGAATTGATATATATAACCCAGAAGACCATGTAGAATGAAGTTCTTTATTACTATGTGTTTGCCCAAGGCAGCCATGAAATTGTCACACCCAGAGTAGCAGAAAGCTCGCCAGGTCACTTGGTATGTTTACTGTTTGCGCCCCAGATTCTCTTCTTTGAGACTCTAGCTGTTGGAGAGGCTTGGCTGTGTATATAATTCAATACTTTGAATGGTGATAGCAACAGCGTGCACTCAGTTGTCAGTCTATTAGTTGCAGCTGGCTGAAACAATGATATATCAAACAGGGTAGACTAGATATTAGAAATACCTACCAGAGCACCATAAAGTACAGCCTGCAGGCTACAGACCTTTATAAAACACACTGACTTTTATCACCTTCATGAAGGTATTATATGTTAAATCAATTTTCAGAGTGCTTATGAATTCTGTATCAGGGTGTAGTTTAACTTTGAGTGAATCCCCCACCGGCTAAATACAGCTCTGATTGAGTTTGTTCTGTCCACTTTCTAAGGAAGTGGGACGTCTGTGTGTTTGAATTCCAGATGTTCAACAGAAGGCTTGGGACCAGCTTATCCGTTTTTTCACACTAATAACTTTGTCACACACCACCTTCAGACTCTTTGATCACATTATGACATTCAGTCAACTAATAGTGGTCCTAACTTTGATCTTTGTCTGAGCTTGTAGTCTAATTAGTAGAGCTCCAACAATTAGTCAATCAATTAGATAGATAGATAG